GTGTTTGCTCGGCCTGACTCGTTGGACCTTGTCTCCGCAGAGCATGTGATATTGATATATATATATATATATATGTATATATATATATAGGTGTGTATATATGTGTATGGCCACACCGGCGGAGGGAAGAGAGAGGGGTAGAGGGTGGGCAGTGGGGCAGTGGGGCTAGAGGCGGCAGGGAGCAGGGATGGGAGGGGAGGGTATGGGATGAGAGGGAGAGGAGCAGGGTAAGCAGGGTGGCAGGGCATCCATTTAAACAATTTAAATAATTTAAACAATCTAAACAATTTACTTGCTCCTTATATAAAGTATATAATTTATACTGGAAAGGAAATAATTTAACTACTAAGTTAACTAATCTGAATACCGATATTTACATTACCCTTATGTAGATATAAACCAGTCTGACTTAGACTGTTTGACCAGTGCGCGAGCATGAACAATTATTGACACAACTATTCCCCTGGCGCTTTTAGTGGGCTCGTGTAACTTTTTCTGAGTCCGGCGCGTGGCTTACTCCATCTCCAGAGTGAAATCCTCAGCTGCGGGTTGTCACGCCACCCGCCAGTCTCAAAAGATTCCTGCAGAAACATCGTACGGAATCCAATCGGGCAGCGGTGTGCTGCAGAATGAAGGGTAATGCCTGCGGCCCGCTCGAAGACAGCAAAAAGCTTGTTGCCATCGTCTTCTGGCGTATTGCCAACTCCGAGACAGTCCACGTAGTGTGAGGGATCCCGGGCCTTGGCACGACTATGAATCCCCTTTGTTGGAATCGGCAAAAATGCGCCGTCCCTGAGCCTTCATGTCCTGCGCAAACACCGACTCCTTCATCACATCTTTCCAATCGCCCCGATCAAAAAGTTTGACCACCTGGTCCGGATTGCCTGGTGCTGCAGCACGGGCAACGTGTCGGCTTCCAGCTTCAAACTACTGCCCATGTCCGGGCAAGACACTCAGAAAACTGTCCCGCCTTGCACAGAATAAACGCCACCATAGGCGCCGGTGCCAAGCTTCGAGTTATAGTCCGGCAGAAATCTTTCCCAGCTGACTTCTGCAACGCCTGAACAGGCTGTTGGCTGCAGGTGCACCGTGAGAAACGTCAACCCGGGCACGAACCCAACTCGATTCCTCGATATCTTCACGTACAGTCAGCCTAAAGCTCATGGCCTTGGAAGGCTGGCTGCTTCTTTGGCTTTGAAGGTGAAGCCTGCAACAGTCGCAAACCCGGAGCATGTCTAGCATAAGGAATCAGAAATATCGATTGCAAGCCACGTGGCCTTTCGAGGGGAGTGAAGCAACGTAGGCAGCTGCTGCGGCTGGAGCTTCGAATTTGTGGCCGGCTCGTCGTTGTAGCCACTGCCTGCGTCTAGATAGAAAAAATAACATGCAGAAAGGTAGAAGACAAATTTATGATCTTAAGTCATCGCCGAAGACTGTCAGCAAGGCGAGCAAGAAAAAGAGCACGACTCTTTCTGTTGGAGACAGCGAACCTGCCGGACCCCGCGGCATGTCTTTTACTGCTCCGGCAAGGCCAACAAGGGCACCGCGCATGGCCAAACTGCTTACATTGGATTTTGAGTTCGGGCCCACCACCACCGGCACGGAAAGGTCCGCAATTGATGGCAAGCTGCAACCCAAGTCCTGCACAACGTTCACGGCCACCCCAAGCTGCAAGATGCTTTGCTCCTTGCAGTCCTCTTGCTGGTGTAGCTTTCGCATTTTTCGCACACTGCCAAGCAGCCACGCGCGCGAGATGGATACCATGCCCACAAACGCTTTCAGTCACGAGGACTTGGCAAACTCTCATGGGGTGCAGCTTTTCAACAAGGACTGAAACCACTGTTGCCAGGAACAACATTACGGGGCATGCTTCCAAGCAATGCTAAGCATGCCTGGCTTCCAATAAAAATCGCCGGGCAGCAAACACGCCGTCTTGAAACATTCGAAATCTACACACTGTCACCAGCACTCACGGATACCTCGGTGCGAAATCCACTGAGCTACATAAATTGCCAGGGGTGCAGGACAGCTAGGCCACAACCGCGTCCAACTCTGACGGAGCTTAACATGACTTACTGCATGAAGCCAACGGATGTGAGAAAAGCCAGCTATTCAACATGAAACTACAAGTTTTGCGTTAGAAAGCTTGCACACACAAACAAACACACACACAC